AGATAAAGCTATGGAAAAATATATGTTCAGATTTGAAATGCCTAGCTCCTTATCGAACCCGGTGGAAGTCTAGTAGCTACTTCAAACTATCGTCAGTCATGAAAAGATCCGGTCAAATGACACGAGTTCAGATCTATGAACAAGACACGAAAAGGAAAAGAATCGGCGACAGGCCACATCAGGTCTGCACTTCAGCGCCGACATCACTATGTTATGTTATGTTAAAAGGAAAAAAAATCAACGACGGGTCACATCAGGCCTACACTTCAGCGCCGTGATCACTATGTTATGTTAGTTATGGAATGCTCATCCTTAGGGCTCATTTTGTATTGAGAGCGATAAGCAGAGCTGGGCAGCGCTACTTTGAAATGTAGCGGCCGCTACCGCTACATGCTCTAAGGCGCCACTGTCAATGTTGGAATAACTCTGTCATAACTTTAGTTCTGTCTCTGTCAGATCTAGAGGATCTGGTAATCGATTGAAGAAGAACCTGAGGGGTTTTGGTTCGTTTATAACTGTCCGAATAACATATTAAATATTCATTGGCCAGGGAAATATCTAAGAAGACTATTCAAAGTCAGGAATTTAGTGCCATACAGCTCACCACATGGTCGAGCAATCGAAGTTGACGAGCAGCCACTTGTGGGGGTTGAAGTTGAACGAGTCCGCCATGTGGACGCCCTTCATGGGGCCGCGGAATTCTTCGCACACGAAAGACGATCCTAGAAAATTCTAATTCTCATGAATTACATGGCTTGGAATAAATGAATTCAATGCATATTATTTCTAATAAATGCTTTTCGTGGTAAATTATTGCTAAAAAGGTGCTTCACTTCTGTATTCAAATTCACTTGAATAGAATTGTTAAACAATGATAAAGCTGCCCGTTATAATAGTGCATTTTTTGAGTAAATGCAATTTCTTGGGGCTTCATACGTGAGTTCTCGTCTACAAAATACTGACACTTCGATGAATCAGGACTGTACAAGAGACCTGCGTATACTGACACTTCGATGTATCAGGACTGTACAAGAGACCTGCGTATACTGACACGTCGATGTATCAGGACTATACAAGAGACCTGCATATACTGACACGTCGATGTATCAGGACTCCTGCATATACTGACACGTCGATGTATCAGGACTGTACAAGAGACCAGCGTATACTGACACGTCGATGTATCAGGACTGTACAAGAGACCAGCGTATACTGACACGTCGATGTATCAGGACTGTACAAGAGACCAGCGTATACTGACACGTCGATGTGTCAGGACTGTACAAGATACCAGCGTATACTGACACGTCGATGCATCAGGACTGTACAAGAGACCTGCGTATACTGACATGTCGATGTATCAGGACTGTACAAGATACCAGCGTATACTGACACGTCGATGTATCAGGACTGTACAAGAGACCTGCATACGCGGCATCAACGTGGATCCAAAGGTCAGGATACTCCTGGCACACTTCCCCAATCTCCTGCAGGTTGTCGAACGCACAGGTGCTCGTATAGTTCCCAGGGTCACGATCACCTGAGTATTTATTAAACTATTTATTATTAACACAAAACTTTACAGAGGGAACTAACTTGAAGATACAAATGAATCCTCGGAAGTATTGAAGAATGAGTTTGGGGGAATAACTTATTAAAGCCAGTTTATCGTGGCATCGAAATAACTAGTCCCCGATTTGAATCGCTTTCGTCAAAACGTTACCAAACTACGGATGTTGCCTGAGCAATTCATATCGATATATTATGACAGTTCAGATCATAAAGTACATGTATTTCCCAACGTCGTGGATCAAACTAACGCAAAAGGGGACGAGGCCGAGCTCGATGTCCTTGGTGAGGGCGCTTGCGAGGGTAGAGCCCCGCAGCGCGAAGGCGTCGTCGGATGGCAGTAGCCTCATCTGCACGCCTGCCAGCAGCCCGGCACGCTCCACGCTCGAGTGCGACATGTCTGGCCGCAGCGATATCAACGTAATAATGTGTCGTACTATGTGTCATAGTTCGGATTTAAGAGAGCATTATCTAGTAGTTCGGAAAGTTTTTATGTATGCAATGAAAATAAGTGTAGTAAAATTTGGCTACACGTAGAAAATTTCAGTGCATTCACAAATTCAGTGATTGGTTTGATTTTTGTTGCCGGTTTTAGATTTATAGCGTTTTATTAATTAGAATTTGCGTTAAATGGGCTTTTTAATATGTAAGCAGTGAAAAAATTACTTGCTTACACTCATAAAATAAATTTTAAATGTGAGGATATTTGATCCTTGTTATAAATTATTAACAATTAAAATATACGCTCTATATAAATAATAATTTTATTACTTTTACCATTCATAAATGTGAACAAACCAAAATGTGTGACCAAAAATGTGAACAAAATCTATTAGCGGTAGTGTTTTAAATTTTTAGTTGAGCCTTTCCGATAGGTAAATAAGCTGATTTACTAATGCATGATACATATAGAGAAATATAGCATAAATACGAGTAGTAGTTCATCAAAGAAAATCAAACTATCTGTTATGGTGACAGGTTAAATTTCACTGATTTATTTTGCTTTTTAAAGAAACTACCGGTATATGAATAAAGTGCTAATGATAAGATGTACAGAAGACCATCCAACTTGCTGACTATGGTGTGCCAGCGTCAAATGCACACCGAAATATTTAAAATATAGACAATACATGCATGGTTAATGTTGGATGTCTGAGGTTACAAAATGAGAATAAAATCGACATTAACTCGTCCACGTCACTTGTACGCTGCCCTCTTCCTCTTCACTCGTCCGCTGCCCTCTTCCTCTTCACTCGTACGCTGCCCTCTTCCTCTTCACTCGTCCGCTGCCCTCTTCCTCTTCACTCGTCCGCTGCCCAGCTGCCCTCTCCCGCTTCACTCGTAAGCTGCCCTCTCCCGCTTTACTCGTCCGCTGCCTTCTCCCTCTTCACTCGTAAGCTGCCCTCTCCCGCTTTACTCGTCCGCTGCCCTCTCCCGCTTCACTCGTAAGCTGCCCTCTCCCGCTTTACTCGTCCGCTGCCCTCTCCCGCTTCACGCGTAAGCTGCCCTCTTCGTTGTCGTCCGCTACCTATTCCGCTTTACTCGTCCACGTCACTCTCTTCTCAATGCCAGCGTTGGAAAGCAAATCGTGACGATAAGCAACCCCGAACAACTTGAGTGTCGAATAATTTAAGCATTTGTCGTTGACTTTGATGAATTTGGTCTTGCCACATTTTGTTGGTGCTCATCGACGTGAGTTTATTCATCATGTTGGCTGAATTTATCATCTAATGGAGATGATCTTGTCGCGGCAAGCTCCCTAGATTATTAGTTTTTACCGATCAGGTAGCATCCGCCTTACGCCGACTTGACAGTGATGAAGAAAGACTTACTTCACATTTAGTTCATATTCCTTTCCGACAAATAAGAACGCTAGGGGTCATAACAGCCTATGAAGTCAAGTGCTCAAAGCCATAGCGCCGGATGTCCACATGCAGCCACAACTTAAGCTTGCTAAAGGTAAGCTTTTACGTACAGTATCTGGCTAAACCTCTTCCTGCCTAACCTATACAAGTTGCAACAGTTTGTATGCAGACGACACAAAAGTATCTAATACAGTGAAGGATGCGTCAAATAAAGCACAATTGCAAGATGATCTTGACAGTTTAGTTAACTGGGCTGATACATGGCAGTGTCAGGTCGTGATGTCATTAGTGACTATTACGTCACCTTCTGTGACGTCACTATCCGCGAATCGCCGCGTATATAAGCTCGGAGAGCGCACTGCCAGTCAGTCTTGGAAGAGTCTCCGTCTTAGGCAGTCATCGTAGAGCCTGCAAACTCTAGACGAGCTCTTAGACTCCGGCACTCCTACCAACACGCAGTGTCGTAATACTATATCTCCAAAATTACTGCACATATTGTGCTTTGATACCGTTATTCCCGTAACTTCTATCTAGTGTATCCAGTGAACCTATCTTTAATACTTACGCTTAGATACACGTCTTGTTATTATCCTTCCCTGGCCAATAAATATTAATATGTTATTCGGACAATTATAAACGAACCAAAACCCCTCAGGTTCTTCTTCAATCGATTACCAGATCCTCTATATCTGACAGAGACAGAACCAGAGTTCTGACAGAGTTATTCGAACATTGACAGTGACGCCTGAGTGCGTAATAACAATTAAAATTGGCGGGGGGGAAGGGAACGACTTCAATACAAGTACCGATAGACGAGAGATAGCAATTACAAATTAATTGTCCTAACAACATACTGATAGAAACATTGGTTCTCATACAATCATATTCGATGAGGAATCCAAGTTTATCCCGAATAAGTCTCATCATTTTGTGCTGATTCATTTCCTTTTTAGCACTAACTATAATTAAATAAAAATGTTACCTACTAATTTGATCATTAAAAGGTAAAAACTTCCTGCTGTTATGTGATTGCTTTTTAATGAACTTGCAAAATGATCCAACGCAGTTCATAGTAAATCTAAGAATATGCTATTACATGGTTCTCTAAAAATAGAAATAAATGAAAATGTATTTTCTTCTTGCCGAGTGACAAACTGTATTTTTGAGCGTATAAAGCCAGAAAACCGGCATTGAACTTCTATGCAATATTAAGTTGTTACTATAATGTCCGTTGACATATTTAAACTAGTAACTGAGCCTTTTTTAAAAATTAGGTTTGATATTAATGTCAAATTAATTAATGCCTAATCTAAGCACTGATGTTTACGTTCAGTCTTATTGTAATTATCAATTCCGATCATTGTTAAGAAACTTGTACACATGACACCGATGCGTTGACCCACGTATTAGCTTTGCTTTATATTAATGAAGCGAGGACGCTTCTACAGTGTAGGGGGGACGTGTCAGGTCGTGATGTCATTAGTGACTATTACGTCACCTGTGACGTCACTATCCGCGGGTCACCGCATATACATATAAGCTCGGAGAGCGCACTGCCAGTCAGTCTTAGAAGAGTCTCAGCTTAAGGCCCTGATTGAAAGCCACCAGGCTCGGCTCTTCCCTAAGCGTTTCTTCACTAATTAGGATAGACTTTACTCCACTCGCAAATTAGATGGCGATATGGATTTTTCCATACTTTCCCAGCTATTTATTTATAAGCGTCGACCAGTAACACAAAATATATAAACTTTGTATTAAAAGAGTTTTAATGAGAGGAAATTTCAAGAAACTTTGAATATTATTGTTCATCAAGTCTGCGAATTTTACACTTTTTTCGAGATATAAACGGGTTGTAATTTTTATTGTCAATTGAATGGTATATTCGGCATTCCTTGATCAGCTTCCTTGTTATAGATATTTTAGAGGATCGTAAAATGAGCGACTTTTTCTAGCGCGACAACATTTTCTAACATTTTCGCGACACAAGTTAATTTAACTATTTATTCTTCATTGACCTCTACACAAAGCATTTCTGAATCATTCTTTTAGCATTAGATATTAGTCGACATTATTAGTGGTAAGTGAAAATTCCGTAGATTTGGGCAAGACCTGACCCATTGTCGTACTGGGTGTAGGCGCAGCCTACGCTATGGCAATAAATCTTCTGTCGTTCAAGGTAAACATTCCTTCCCTCCCTCTTCACTTCGCAGTTCCTTTCGATCAGCTTTCAAGCCCTTGTCTAAAGCTGCGGAGTCTTTTAAAGGTTCTAAACTAACAATGCAAGTTTCCATGCATCGTCAATAATATGAAAATGTGCCCGTTCACACTAGTGGCAACGACATGCGCTCTGAGTCCTTTGCTGCAGTGCCTCACCGCGCACAACCGTTCACACTACGTTTGTAAGCGATAGCTCGAGACCGCGCGCTTTGAACAGTAGTTGCCACCTAGACCTAAATAAAAAGTTACAATATTCGTACCAATATTATATTATTCTTTCAAATCGCTAAACGGTAATTCATAAATTGACAGGAGTAGCTAAAGTCACAGAAATTAAACACGTCATGTAAAAGTAACTTACATCATTTGAAATCTGAATGTCTTCATCGAGAGTAGACGTTGACTGACGAAGAGCATTGCTGTCATTGATGAACATCAATGATTCAAAGCACCATAGTTCCGGTACGTACACTTGGTCAGCACCTGCGCCAGATTTGGTCGATTCTCGTTTCAGCTTTATTTCACGATGGAATTGTGAACGCAACGTATGGATTTTTCTTTCGAACTTCAGCAATGGTGACTTCTACACACATGTTTCTTAAAGCTCCAACTATTTTTACCATAGCTTGTTCTTTTGCATTTCGATTTTTGTACTCCTTTGACCGAACACTCCATAGGTATTCATTCTCTCTATGACGTTCATAGGCATTCATTCTCACTTGACTGCTCACCATCTCATATCAGATTGTCAACATGGTTTTATCGCCGGTAGATCTTGCACCACTAACTTATTATCTACGTTGAACGATTGGACTCGCATGCTGGACGAAAGGGAGCCAGTGGATGCATTGTACCTTGATTTTGCCAAAGCATTTGACAGTGTTCCGCTGTGATCGCCGCTCTCTGAAAGCCGCTTGCTCTCAAGTCTGTAACAATTTTGAACAATCTAACAATTTGTACAAATTTTACTCAACTTGATTTCGGTTTTTAACTTGTGTTTATCTAGCTCTTGCATTTCCCTCGGCAGCTGCAGCTCAGCTGTTCCTCAAGCCAGAATTTTCGAGGGAACTTTACTATATTCAACTCAACTCAGTTTTGTATGTTTGTCCGTCCTTTTCTGTATTTTTCTCCGTCCTTTTCTCCGTTCAAGAGAACTAGTTCGCGCATTTAATAATGGCTGTACAGAAATAAAAAAATAGTCGAAAAGCCCTCTATCTGTCTCTTATACACATCTAGATGTGTATAAGAGACAGGAAGAGGGCAGTTTACGAGTAAAGCGGGAGAGGGCAGCGGACGAGTGAAGCGGGAGAGGGCAGCTTACGAGTAAAGCGGGAGAGGGCAGCGGACGAGTAAAGCGGGAGAGGGCAGCTTACGAGTAAAGCGGGAGAGGGCAGCGGACGAGTAAAGCGGAAGAGGGCAGCTTACGAGTAAAGCGGAAGAGGGCAGCTAACGAGTAAAGCGGAAGAGGGCAGCGGACGAGTGAAGCGGAAGAGGGCAGCGGACTAGTGAAGCGGAAGAGGGCAGCTAACGAGTAAAGCGGAAGAGGGCAGCGGACGATAACGTGGACGAGTGAAGAGGAAGAGGGCAGCGGACGAGTGAAGCGGAAGAGGGCAGCTTACGAGTAAAGCGGGAGAGGGCAGCGGACGATAACGTGGACGAGTGAAGCGGAAGAGGGCAGCGGACGAGTGAAGAGGAAGAGGGCAGCGGACGAGTGAAGAGGAAGAGGGCAGCGGACGAGTGAAGCGGAAGAGGGCAGCGGACGAGTGAAGAGGAAGAGGGCAGCGTACAAGTGACGTGGACGAGTTAATGTCGATTTTATTCTCATTTTGTAACCTCAGACATCCAACATTAACCATGCATGTATTGTCTATATTTTAAATATTTCGGTGTGCATTTGACGCTGGCACACCATAGTCAGCAAGCTGGATGGTCTTCTGTACATCTTATCATTAGCATTTTATTCATATAGTTTCCTTAAAAAGCAAAATAAATCAGTGAAATTTAACCTGTCACCATAACAGATAGTTTGATTTTCTTTGATCAACTGCTACTCGTATTTATGCTATATTTCTCTATATGTATCATGCATTAGTAAATCAGCTTATTTACCTATCGGAAAGGCTCAACTAAAAAATTAAAACACTGCCGCTAATAGATTTTGTTCACATTTTTGGTCAAGGCCATTTAATTAAATCGTCACCTCAATTTGGAGACTGCATGGAGTTTGTCTAGGAAATTATTCCTATTTAAACATATTTTAGCCACTCATGTTAGCAGTCAGTGGCATTAGTAGACATATGCTTATAATGGATGCTGGCAGCTTGCACCACTTAGATATTCTCTATAAAAAGTCTTGTAAGAAAATTATTATCATAAGAACCTATCTGTGGTGGCTGCTTCAGTCAAATTTGTCAATAATAGGAAAATAAGTTGATGAATCATTAGAAGTTTATTAGAATTCTCCATCTAAAATATATCCAATCCTCACCTTTGGAAGCCATGAAGGGATAAAAATATTGTGAACTGGAAATTGTGAATAGGTATTATTTATGAAGCAGCTTAATGGTCTAAGCTCATGAAAATGATAGAAAATGCTATAGGCATATTGGCTAAACTGCTAGGTGTTTAAGCAGAAGATATATGTGCCCTCAAAATTAGGAGAATTATTTTCTATCACAATTCTACCCTGTATTTTTAGACTAAAAATTTTGGACACAAATATTAATTTCTCAAGGTATTCTGAATTAAATGCAGAGTCAGAAGTTTTTTCTAGCGCGACAGCTTTCATTAAACAAAAATATTTTATGAATGACTAATCAAGTTCAGAAGATATTCACATTTTTATTTGACTGCGACCTTGACAGCATAAAGCAGGTTCAATAAAGAAACATATATTCACAACACCATATTAACTAGCAGCAAACGTCCTTCTCTTGTGGTACAAACAAAGTTTACAACTTCAGCTCACTATGATTCAAGATAGTGTAAAAAGAGGTAATATTCTCTACGTCTTGCTGTAGCAAACGTGCTATTCCCATCATAAAACAACTTCCTGAAGTCTTTGAGCATCACTGAAAAGGTTGCCCGATCATCATCCTCGCTTTCTCCGATAATCTTAATAACTTGGTTAAAAAACAGCTCCTGTTCCAAATCTTTCACTAATTTCTCGTCATCTCGATCAAAAGTGCCTAACTTTCGTCCTAAATCCTTTTCCATTTCTTCGTGATTTGCCAAATAATAATCCATGTTGCAGGAGATCTTCATAGGCAGAAGTTCCAAGACCTTCAGCAGTGAAATTTTTTCCACAGTCTCCACTTTCTCGATTTGATTAAGATCATTAAACGGTTCTTCATATTGCCACTGCTGAGAGTACAGGGAATCCAACATCTCCCTGGACTTAAAATATCTTGAGTGGATCATTCCCAGGTTAAACCCGTCTCCATAACTGGATGCCTTCAGCTTCTGGGATGGAAGAATATCATCTGGCCAATCATCCAGCCCTTGAAGATATTTCATAACATCTTGATTTGGTCCATCATGGTGTACATAAACCTGGTCTGCGTCGTTAACCGCAAGAACAAGCGGTTCTAGCATCAGAGAGTAAGTACCATTCTCAAGCTTCAGCTGGACATCACTTGCCTGCGTCTGGGTCGCCATTTTGCACAGTGGGTTGCTGTAGAATAAAAAAAAAATGGTCAGGCCTTGCTCAAAGTAAACCGTACTACACAGTGAGATGCATTAATTGCTATTAAAAAATTGATATTAAAAAAGATATCGCTGCTAGATGCCTAAAACACACCTACGGATACTAATTACTTTTTTGTTTTCTTAAAAACAGAAACTTCTGCCTATCAATACATGAAAACTCTTAAACAATGCATATTTAGATATCAATTAAACTTAAATCAGTGGTAGTATCATTAGATCAACTAGCATAAATAAATGCTGGCCTACTTTCTTACCACCAATCACCTTGATAGGATAAGTTAGATAAAAAATTAATGGAATTTTGCTAGTTAGTGAAGTTATTTGCAAATTTCAATCATACTTTATATGGCTGGTTCCATAACATTCAAATTATGAATATCTTAAATAGAATCTTAAACTTTGAGCAAATTGTGCAAGCCAAACCTAGCAATAATCAAATATGCAAAGGTTAAAAAGAATATTAAAAAGAACAAATTTCTCATTTAGTAACTAAGTAGCATTCTAAACAAGGCCGCCCAGCCTGCACTGCCTGCAGAGTGAGGGAAAGATGCAGCCATGCATTCACAATGCAATCAGAATTATTAATAATTGTGAATAGGTTTGTAACAAGAATAACTTTAGCTGTTGCATTTGGAATGTATGCATGTCAACTTGAATACTAGCGTTCAAACATCCATATGCAGGCTATATTTTAATTGAAAAGTATCAATTTTGAGAATTGAAGTTATCCCCCAGATAAACATCATAAATATATTAATTAGCAGAGCTGGCAGCGCTACTTTGAAATGTAGCGGCGCTACTATTGCCACTTCATGCTCTAAATGTAGCGGGCGCTACCGCTACATCCACTAGATTGTAGCGGGTGCTACTGCTACAGTAAAATGTAGAACCGCTACATTAGCCACTACAATGGCCTAAATTATTGGAAATCTCTAAATATTTATTATTCTGCTATTGGTATTTACTCATAAACATTCATGATAATAAAACATTTTCAAAATATATCAATGCAACTTTATTGCCATTAACCTAACCAAACTAGTACGGGTTAGATACAGTTAATAAAAGTTACAATTATTTTTATGTTTTACCTTCCCTACATGGATGTGTACTTCAATCTACCAATCTAAAAAACTACCCACATATACATATAAAAAATTAGTCTTTTATTTGTATATATATGTGGATTATTTTTTAGATTGGTAGATTAAAGTAGACATCCATGTAGGGAAAGTGAAACATAAAAACTGAAAGCAAACTGAAACATGAAAAAATACCTGTAAGTGTAACTGGTAACAATGTTGCCGCGTGTCTCCCGCGGGTGAGGCAAACACGTCGCCTACTTCTACTTGATAGGTTGGCAACAACCTACTTGGTTCCTCTCAAGTGGTGAGTTAGCTTAGGTTCCCATACTGGTGCAGTTATTAGTTATTCATTGGAATTTTGCATTAGGATTATGCTTTAGTATTGGAATTTACTTTACATTAATGATTTTACTTCCTTGTCTGGACTAGAGAAGAAAAACAGAAAAATTACAAATTGAGAAAAACACAGCACAGACATTAAATAAACGAGCATGAAAGCCAAAGGGTTGGGCTAAAAAGCAATATAGCTCCCCCTGCAACAACAACTTAACAAGTAACAACTAACATGTTGACACTAGTAACAGGCTGAGGTTGACGACATTACACTGAAATCTTTTGTACGGTTTTATTCTGTAATTTATATTATGTAGGTATGTATCATGCTGGTTTCTAAATAATATTTAATACTTTCAAGTAAAATCAAAAGGCTTTATCTATAAATTTAGCGGTAGTGCTGTAGCGGCAAAAGCTTGTATTGCTACATAAATATGTAGTGGGCACTTCCACTACATTGCCTTAAATGTAGCACTGCTACCGCTACCGCTACTGAAAATGTAGCAGCCACTACATGTAGCGCATTACTGCCAACCTCTGTTAATTAGGAGGTGAAATTAATCAAAATTGCAATTCAATTCATCAGTGTGAATAATAAACTTCACAGGTATTAGGAGAATTGAAATATTTCCCAAAATATTTCCTCACGATTAGCAGGTTCTCTCCCTTTGACAGCATTGGCCATTTAATAAACTTTTGGATCTGGTTGGGCTTTGCTTGCATGATCTAACTCTCTGCAGCTCTCACATTACTGTCATATATGAAGATTACAAAATTTTCATCAAAGATTTCATGATCTTCAATTCTTTTGGCCAAGACTGTGGGAGTTAATTTGGCTATTTTTTGGCCCCCAGTGCAGAATTGAGCTAATAATCATAGCTATTGTACGATACAAGTTTCAGCAGGATAGCTTCAACAACTGTCAGTCACATGAGAAGATGCAAATCACAAATTTTTATATTGATTCAATACTCCTACCATTGGGTCTAAAAATATCACAAATTTTTATATTGATTCAATACTCCTACTATTGGGTCTAAAAATCAAACACAAAACTTTATAATACTTAACAAGGAGCTAGGCAACACTTGAGGAATAAATAGGACCTAGAGCAGCCTCTCAACAGGGAACTGGTGACACTTGAATAAATAGGATCTAGAGCAGCCTCTCAGCAGAGAACTAGGTGACACTTGAATAAATAGGACCTAGAGCAGCCTCTCAACTGGGAATTAGGGGATACTTGAAAAAATAGGATCTAAAGGCTCTAAAATTAATATTTCTATGTGGGTTGTGGATTAACCGAAATTATATAGAGAGCAAAAAAAATTGTAAAAGGCGTCATAAAAAAATCAATGATAGAAGTTTTGGACTTAAGGGGGAGGTATACCCTCCAGAAAAGCTTTTTTGTTTATGGACGGATCACTCTGAAACTTAGTACACTTATGTAAAACAGAATTCTAAGACATTTTTGTTCCTGTGATTTTTTCGAAAAATTGATAGAAAAGGTGAAATTCATAGAAAATGGACAAAAAAGGGGGTACTGTAGAAATCTATCTCCTCCTAGGGTTTTGAAGCTACAGCAATGAGACATATACCATTCTATTCGTAAAGACCATACCAATGCAGTAACATGGCCCGATTTTTTATTTTTGCTTTAGTTTTTTTTACAAGCATTTTTCCATTTTTTC